TGGACTCTGTAGCTTGAGAGTATATTGGATAGTCACGTGGTAAAATTTGAAGGCAATGATTCGATGTAAATAATCAATATAGAATGAGAGAGTTATTGCAAAACATGTGAGGACTAGGATCAGTATTATTTAAGTTGATTTTGTGACTACTGTTTGAGCTAAAGATAGTTTGATCAATAGGTATGACTACATCATACCTCAAGTATTAAAATACAACCTGTATCATAACCAGGTTTTATCCTCACATAAATAGATGTCATCTTACTAATTCAAAATAAGCTGGAGTCACTAAAGGATTGACAAGATATATAGCATCATAGATCTACAATGTAAATATATCAAAACTTTGTCCTTATTAATATCAAAGATATCTTTTATTATCATTTTATCTTTATTGATGGGCTGTCAATCTAAACAAACTTTTATGCTTTAAAATTCAAACACGGTTTAAAAAGATTGTGGTCCGTCCATGTAGCGATTAATTAGATGTGTCTATTGGATCTCAAATAACAATCAGAATGATTTATTCATACAATGTCGTGTAAAATAACGTCTGTAGAACTATCATTAACAACACTGAATACGAGAGTGATATTTACATATATCAAGCTGGTAATCATTCTATATATTCTTAAAAGGTTTAATTAATAATCTTTATAACTGAACCTTTATTAAAATTGCATTGATCGCATTACGCTTTATTAACATTACATGTATCTACTAAATGATATGATATAACATGGAACTGTAAGAAGATGAACTTAGCGATGTAAAGGACATATTGGAAGGTATTTTTGTTTTTGTCAAAGTTTCGAATTTGCAGTATTGTTGCTTTAAGAACTGAAATAACATATCTGCAATTGAAACAAAAATAAGTTCAAAATTTCCGTAGTTTCACGATTGTTTCAAAACACTTATAATGTGATAGAACCTCCATAGTATGAATCAGTTCACTAACAAAATATTTATTGTTCATGCATGCAAGAAGTTATCTTACTTTCATATGTACTTGATGTTTTTCGTCCAATTGATTTTAATCCAAGTGCTGTTTTTTGATAGATATGATTGCCAGTGAATTACTTCATTGATGAAATAAGTAGGCCACAAACCATATACCTTCATGGAATCCGACACTTGTATTATTAGTAAATTATTTGCTTCGTGGATCAATATCTAAACATAAATGATGCTTTATATTTCAATCACTTCTGAAAATGTTTAAATGTCGTATAAATTTAAGCACGAAACACATTCAATTAATTAATATAAATGAGAAAATATTGAAACTGAAATATTATACTTGTTGAATATATAATATTGCACTTCGGAAACTTTATATATACTGTTCAAATAAACATTTAAAATGCATTAGGGCTACGATGCTACTGACAAACCAGTCAATTTAAAAGCAATAAGATTTTTTTAATCGTTTAATAAATTACATAGTTTAAGATTAATTCTGTTTTACATAATGATGTCTATCAAGAAAATATTGAGGTGGTGTATTAACATGTCGTGGCAGCATTTCGTCACCTTAGTGCACCCATTAAATGGGAGATATCCTGTTACTGCAGTAAGGTTACGACGTTGTTTAAGTTTGGTCTCACCATGTTACGTATTTCATTGCTAACTCACTGTAACACTTCTGTACCCTATCATAACTTTACACATTAAAAAACTATCTTAGCTGTTAATATTTCAAATTAAAAACATTAATCAATAAATAAGTAGATTGGCTTTTTCTAATTACACCTTTTTAAACTGACAATTTAAATGTTTTAATCTCGGCAAATTTGAAAATACATGCTTGCTTTGTGTTAGTAAAACAAAATGAATAATAAGTTTGGTGTGATCCGTCTTGATAGAATTTGGTTTACATAACATGGTGAAAGAAGTAATCAGCAATCGAGGCGTCAATAAATTTTGTAAGCAACACCATGGTTGATGGACAAATGTACTATACAATAAGCCACTATTAATGTTGGCTTTATGTATATAATACAATACAGACAGTATGGACGTCATATTTTGTTTAAGATTTAGTACAGTCATCACAAACACAAAGCAGTTTATAATTTTCCAGAACTTTCGTGTGTGAGAAAAAATTACTTTTCCAAACATTTTGTGAACTTATTTATTATAAGAAATTTCGTCCACAGTTATATTTTGCGTCAGTTCTTAAAAAAGGGAAATATCTTTTTAAAAAGGGAAATATACAATAACTAGAGTTTTGTATCATAGTTCGGAGACATTTCTGTTGAAAATGTGTCAGGGTTAAATCGTATAAATATACATGCACCGTGCGTTAACTGGAGTGCGGGTATTAGTTACCCGCACTCCAGAGCATGCCCATTGATTGGCTCATTTTTGCTGGGGTTTACATATTGTGACGGCAGAGAAAGGGAAAGCGACATAAATATCATATTCAGATGTTCGTTCATTGGTTCATTTTTGCCGGGGTTTCATATTGTGACAACAATATGTTTTTATGATACAAAAGAGAAAGAACACCAAAACACTCGGTAATCTGATTAATACTCGGGGGCTACGCCCCCTCGTACAAATCAGATAACCTCGTGTTTCGGTGCTCTTTCTATTACTTGTTTAATGCATCGCCGAAATTAACATAAACACCATGTAATGTTGAAATAACTGTAATGAAATAAACTAAATACTAATTGATCCAAATTTCATGTGACAAAATTTTAAACCAAATACTTTAGAATAAAATTAAAAAAATATTAATACCGTTTTGTTACATTATTAAGTCTAGAGAGGATAATTATATTCTTGCAGAATAATTAACAATGGCAAAAGAAAATAATGATGAATTTTGAGTACCTGTTCAGTTATTTTTTCGACAATTATTTCCAATATCCATGACTTATATCACATCTCACGATATATTTATAAGAAATATATTCTGATTACTCAATGTAATTCTTATTTTCTACGTGATAATATTAATTCTATTTACCAACAAAGTTAAAATAAACTTGTAGAATTAGTAAAGCAATGTTACATAAACACTTACCCTTACCAAATTGATATCTTATTATATTACTTTTATGTCACCGATACGTATATATAAATAACAATGGTATTTCATCGATACTTTCATAAATAAAACCTTTATGGTGCTACTGCCTGAGGGACAATGTAATATAAAATTATACAATAAAAGTTAACAATGGCTTAAATGATCACCATTTTATTTTAGATAGATCAAAATGTAAATAAATGTTTTACATCGGCGTGTATCAAGTATATTTATACATACAATTATCGGCATGCGACACCACATTTGTAAACTTTAACTTTCAATTTTCGTATATTTGTTTTCTTAATTTTCGGTATGCAATACAACATTCGTATGCTTCGATATTTTAGGTCTGAAAATTAAGCTGGCTTTTAGAGCTTTATATGATTGATTTAGATAATGTATAGACACAACACACGTAAGTACATCTTTGCTGATACGTTTAAAATAGGTACATGGCTCATCATATCAGTAATATTTAATCTTGATATGACTTCACATTACGATTAAGAAGTTCAGATATGCACCATTTCAACAATATTTACCCTAATTGCATGTATTCACAAAGAGGCGCAGGTAAATACCATGCCAGCACAACGGTATGTATTGAAAATGAGGCAAAAAAAATACGAAGTGCCATCCATAGTCCAAGATCTACTGTTGAACAGGAGGGACATTTGTACTTCTTTATTTAACTCGTCAGAACGAAATAATATCATGTCCGACAACATGATTATCTCATTTCTACAATGTGTTAGCTTCTTTTCATGAGTTAGTATCTTGTTTCCATGAGATAAATAAACCATTGTACATGTCATATTTAAGTCACCGTTACTGTGGCACAGGGGTGACAAGTGCACACCTTTATTTATCTCATGGAAACGAGATAATATCACATGGAAACGAGATAATATCACTTGGAAATGAGATAATATGACATGGAAATGAGATATAATCACTTGGAAATGAGAATATATCATATGGAAATGAGATAATATCACATGGAAATGAGATCATATGGAAATGAGATAATATCACATGGAAATGAGATCATATGGAAATGAGATAATATCAAATGGAAATAAGATAACATCACATGGAAATGAGATAATATCACATGGAAATGAGATAATATCTCATGGAAATGAGATAATATCATATGGAAATGAGATAATATCGCATGGAAATGAGATAATATCGCATGAAAATGAGATAATATCGCATTGAAATGAGATAATATCGCTTGAAAATGAGATAATATTGCATGGAAATGAGATAATATCGCATGAAAATGAGATATCGCATGGAAATGAGATAATATCACATGGAAATGAGATAATATCACATGGAAATGAGATAATATCACATGGAAATGAGATAATGTGACATGGAAATGAGATGATATCATATGGAAATGAGATAATATCGCATGGAAATGAGATGATATCACTTGGAAATGTGATAATTATGGCATGAACGAGATAATATCTCGTAAAGAAGAGCATATTTTACAGGTGTGCTACAGTAAACATCACTGAATGCTCGTGTGTAAGATCAATGGGTTTATATACGAGTATTGTGGTACGGAATTAGCAGGAATTTCATTTGTACAAAATAGTTTAATCGACGCTCATCTCGTGTCACAAAAGTGGTATAGATACGAATGCATACCTGTTTTTACATCTGTTCTGTGGATACTTTAGCTACAAATATAAACGTATTTAAAACAAAACAAAAACTAAACAATGACACAAGGTAGAAGTACCACGAAAATATAGCAATAGAAATACCTACATAAGACTAATCCAAATTGAGTCAAACATGTATTAATTTATTAAACAAACCTGAACTAGATGTTGAAAAGTTGTCGAAAGTTTGGACCATTTTATTGACAGTATGTGGCATGATCTATGTAGTACATAAAGATTTCATTTGGAAAAACAAAAAGAAACTATGCATATGAAACGTTATAATGAAACTTTAATAAATGTACATAGTACACAAAATCATTATGTATAGGATGCCATCAGGGCAAAAATTTCTAAAACAGAAACAGATTATTTAATAAATCACAATTATATAATTATGTCAATTTATGAGGTTACGAGATGATTGTTAATTATTCGTCATGTGACGGTAGACGTTGGATAATTTTGTCGACACCTATTTGGAACACGGCTGTTAGACTCGCCTGGCGTTGTCGTCTCTTGCCCTTTAATTGTAATAGCTTCTCTTGTCTCCTGTCTTCCAGGGCTTTCTTCACCAGACTTTTAAGTTGTGATACGGCCGCCTTATCATTAGGGTCATCCGAACTCTCGCCACTTCTCATTTTTTTCATCGCTTTTCTGTAACCGATCTTATATTCACTGAAATCATAATAATAGAGCAACTTGATGCATTATCTTAGTTATTACATTCTAAAGATGTGGATATATATGGGGAAAAGTACATATGTCCGTACATTAAAGGAAAATAAAGCCTAGCTGTCTAGTCTGTATCAGAAATACCAAAAGGTTTAGAATAAATTTTAATAAAGAAATTTTGAATTAACTGAAATTGAAAATTAGATTATATAATATTGGTATATATATTTTAGTGATAGAAACGGGTAGTTCAAAAGTATATGGATACTAAAGATATAAAGAATTAAGTGGTTATGAATGATAAGTATGAAACATGTTAGCAAAATGTTGTATGAACTATAATATTTCTATAATTTAGATGTTTACATGTTAATCATGAACTCAACTAAAACACAGTTAGTGCAAGGAAGGATATACAATACTATACAATGTTAAAGTGACCATGCAAAACATCATCTGGTGCTCTTTAAACGTGCAACTTCACTGTAGAAACATATATAATTACATATAAGACAATGGGAACAGCCTTGGCATTTATTTTCGTATCTGAAATACAGCTTGTAAACTTTGTCGTCGTTGTAAAACTCGTTGTGCAGCATTTGTTCGCATTGCAGTTCTTTTTTCTGCCAGAGCGGTATGTATGAGTTTCCTTAGTCCAGCCATTGCATCTTGTTGCGCCTCACCGTCGTTCCCTCGAATCTTTGATACAGTCTTTCTGTATCCTGATTTAACCTCGCTATATTCGGGGTAAAAGTTGATATGTCATGACCACAAAACTAAATACATGTTATTAAAAACAAACAATGGAATCCATGGAGACTTTATAAACAGTTAACAGATACGTCTCCAATACGATGTCAAGATAAGAGAGATAAGCAAAAACGTAGCGTAAGACCCATTTTGAATTGCGCCCCTTTAAACTTTTAAGCAGCGGTATGTTAAACTGTCATACTTTTTTCATACTCCATAAATATTTGTTTCTATTATACGTATGGTTATAGATATTTTTCTCAGAAAATTTTACATCAAAAATTCGACATCGAGATATTTAACAACTGAAAGGAGAAGAAATCTATAAGACCAAGTCTTTCGTTCTAATCATCCTAATATTGTCTAATGTTGTATGTGTATATATTTCAAATGTTATCATGTAAATATTCTGAGAATAAATATGGTTAAACTTAAACTGCCATAACAACGACTTTGAACAACAAATTTGCATGCCTCGTCGAAAACTTTCAATTAATCACATAGGTTCAATTAAACATAGATATACCAAGAACACATTAAGATGTCAGAGTAAGCAAATTTATCAAACAATTTAAGCTCGATCGCCAAAACAATCATTGAAATTTTGTATCTGCTTTCTCAAACTAACCAGTACTGATGTCATAAGAGACAATACTCGTGACTAGAGAAGCGCCCTCTACGATCAACATGTTTTATAACATCAATTAAAATAACATACTCGTATTCAATTTCGTCATTGTCGTTGATATCGAGTCTCTCAAACAGTGAATCAAGTGCATCATCTGTCAGAGGCATGTTTATTGTCTGTGAATAAAAACATTATCCGGTGAAGTGCCGGCCTATAATTTTGCAGTATTTATAGAGTTTTTATATTTTTCATAAACGATAAACATTCATGTATTCTTATAAAAACAAACATGTGATGTGAATGTTATTTTATATCGAAAACAACATCGTTAAGACAATCATCAAAAGTATGGAGATAGTTTAAGTATAGTTACTTACTACAAAACCTTCTTTTAGCTCATCCTTAGATACAGATTGGCTAGAATCCGTATCAAACGTCCGGAACAAGTCAATGAGACGTAGATTCTCCTGTTTCATATATTCAAACAGTATCATAGCAGGGTCGTAGTCTTTTAATGTTCTCTGTCTGATAATTGGGGTCACTTTTTTCTTGTTCGGGTCGCGATGGAACACACGAACTTGTCGAATCTTTAACAATTCATCTAGTTCGTCCAGGAAATCTGGGTTGATTGGAATATCCTGGAATACAAAAGTTTGTTTTCAGGGAAACAGTGACACGCACTATAGTCAATTAGAAGTATATATATCCTTTGAATTGTTTATCTCAATCTTAATATGTCACCGAGACTCATGTCATAAAATCAGGAAAAGTTAAGACCACCAAATTGATAAAGCATTTGTTTTTGTTTTCTATATAATTTACGTGACTTACTGTCATGTATAAATCTGTGAGCTGAGACACTTTTGACTTCTGTAAACATTTTATTACAGCAATAGCGCCATCTGTTGTCAGAGGATTCTGGTTGATCTGAAATGGCATCATTACATAGTGAATATTAGGATATAGTTATTACAGTATTGCTGCTTTGTATGCAAATGAAATATAAGTTAATCCAGTTGTAAAAATAGCACACCATTAGTTCTGATTGATTACCAATCTAATATACAATAACAATATAAATGTGTACATGTTCACATATGCATCTGGACCAGCTGTTAGCCTATTAAATATTTTTAGGTAGGAAACGGGGCCAGATATTTACCATGTTTTTCTTAGAATGCAGTAAGACAGTCCACAGTTTCATGACAGTCTTATATTATATCTTATTCATATCTTACTTTGATTAATAGTTGTAGTTTAGTATAAAAAAAACATTTGAGCCACGTCACGACAAAACCAACATAATGGGTTTGCGACCAGCATGGATCAAGACCAGCCTGCACATCCACACAGTCTGATCAGGATCCAAGCTGTTGGCTTACAAACCCTATAACAAGTAGAGAAATTGATAGCGAACAGCATGGATCCTGATCAGACTGCGCGGATGCACATGCTGGTCTGGATCCATGCTGGTCGCAAACCCACTATGTTGGTTTTGTCGTGACGCGGCTCATTTTATGCCATTCTTTGAAATGAGAAAAATCACATACAAATAATATCACACTGTTAAAAATGGAAGAAATTCTAAATTTTGCTTCCCGTTCTTCTTTATGTTCATTAAAAGATAAATGAAAGAAGTACTCAGAATGGCACATTTATCACGTTAAATAAGGTCGAGCCATTCGGCGTCGGACTGGTAACATTTGATTATATTAATGCAAAAACGAAAAAACCAAGTACAATGTAAGACGACTTAAAAAGACAAACAATTAGCAAATCTTACTACAGAGTGACTAGTACATATTTACATTTTCACTGGCTTTTAACTTCTAGATAATAAATATAATACAATGTATGTTATTAGAAACATACCCTTAACACTTTAAGCGTGTCGTTCTTTTCAAGTCCTTTCAGCAGATCTTTAAGGCAGAATATACTTATTCTGTTACATGACACGTCCAACTCCTTCAGTGTGTGGTTACATGGCAACGCTTCTGCTAGAGCCCTGCAGCCATCCTCTGCTAAACCATTCCATGACAAGTCAAGTTCCTCTAGTATATTGTTAGACTACAAAAACATCAATAATATGTTGCAACTGTTACTGGTTTAAAACAACCACAAAAATCTTAAGATTTTCATTTAGGATATATATATATGTACATGGTAAATACAATACAGCGAATCGGGTTAGATAATGGTAGACCTATTCATCATTTTTTACTTATTTTGTGACATGAGATATGTCTCATTGAAATGATTAAAAAATATACAAGATTGTTAGACTTTAGAGTGTCTATAATCACAGTTATATGTCTCCTAGAATGCATGCTCTATCTAGATGTTTTGAGATATATTGACACCGTTACTAGGCCATACAGAAAACTGTCAAGTTTTAACTGGTGGAGGATCAGCTCCAGTACACCTTCAGATTTAGTGATAGAGTAAAACATCTGGTGTCCTTATATGCTTTATATCAGACAATAGCGAACACTTGAGTAGAACAAACAACTTTAGATTCAGTGACCACAATTTAGCATTTCAGACATATTCACAAATAGTAGGTACACATTTTATAACTACTATTTAAAGCAAGAGCATGTTTTAGCTCGTTTGTGACATTTTGCTCATCCAAGTGTCAATGTTGTCAAATTTATTTCAATACAAACTTCCATCTATTTCTACATTGTGACAACATTGTTATCATACAAATGAGGGGGTAATCTGATCGTCATTCGATCAATTTAAGAATAACTGTTCAAATCAAAACAGTTCTTACTTCAATAATAATAATAATAATAATAATAAAAATAATAATAATAATAATAATAATAATAATAATAATAATAATAATAATATTAATAACAATAATAATAATAATAATAATAATAATAATAATAATAATAATAATAATAATAATAATAATAATAATAATAATAATAATAATAATAATAATAATAATAATAATAATAATAATAATAATAATAATAATAATAATAATAATAATTATAATAAAAATAATAATAAAATAATAATAATAATAATAAAAATAAAAATAATAATAATAATAATAATAATAATAATAAATAATAATAATAATAATAATAATAATAATAATAATAATAATAATAATAATAATAATAATAATAATAATAATAATAATAATAATAATAATAATAATAATAATAATAATAATAATAAAATAATAATAATAATAATAATAATAATAATAAATAATAATAATAATAATAATAATAATAATAATAATAATAATAATAATAATAATAATAATAATAATATTAATAATAATAATAATAATAATAATAATAATAATAATAATAATAATAATAATAATAATAATAATAATAATAATAATAATAATAATAATAATAATAATAATAATAATAATAATAATAATAATAATAATAATAATAATAATAATAATAATAATAATAATAATAATAATAATAATAATAATTATAATAATAATAATAATAATAATAATAATAATAATAATAATAATAATAATAATAATAATAATAATAATAATAATAATAATAATAATAATAATAATAATAATAATAATTAATAATAATAATAATAATAATAATAATAATATTAATAATAATAATAATAATAATAATAATAATAATACTGTTGGTTTAATTTTAATAGTAAAATGTTCCCTTACTTTTAATGACATGCAAACAGCTTTTGCGCCCTCTCGTCTAAGATGATTCCAGCTCAAATCTAGTTTCTTCATACCTACATTACTCCCTGTAAACCATTAAGAACTTTGTCATTATCTTTTGTTCTATAAACATCAACGAAACGTAATAAGGCATGAAGATGAATAATTATCTTCAATTCATAACATGATACCTATTGACAAATAGGTCACTCCTCTACAAAACATATAAGAGCACAGCATGCGCTACTAACGCTCGTCTGTTAATTACAACAATTTAAAATAAGAACTGACTGAGGAGAAGCACGCTCAACTTTTCACGATACTGAATAGTAAACTGCATTTTCCAAATAAAAGAAAGAAATAATTATAGTAGATGTTGAAATATGATTTTTTTTTCAAAACGGCTTATATTAAGTTTATATATATATAAAATATATACATCAGCTTTTAAAAGAAATATTTAAATATATATATATATATATATATATATATATATATATATATATATATATATATATATATATATATATATATATATATATATATATATATATATATATATATATATATATATACAATGTATATATATATATATGATCGGTACATGTGCTGGGATTGACAAATATGCATTATATTTGGATTTTATAGGCGTTTTGAGCTACACATCCCAAGTGTCTGTGCATACAAAGTATAGAACCTGGGTCATTGCAATTTGATTTAATTATCAGTTTTATGCTTTCTAATTGCAGATCCCAGTGACCTTGGTCTTTGACTACTGTATTTGATTTGACAATAAGTCCGGCAATTATAGCTCGTCAGCATGTACATGTATCAACATGTATCAATTTGAAGTTCTTAACTAAATATACTTTTAGAATTGATTGAAAAGGTTTCATGTGATTTCTTTAATTTCACATGTACCAGTGACCTTGATCTATCTTTGACATTTTGGAAGTCTAGGTACATCCACGTTTAAAGTTTGAATTTCCTGGGTTTGGGAATTAAATATGATTTAATAGTCAGTTCTATGTTTATTACATGTACCAGTGACCTTGATCTTTGACCTTTTGGCCTAAAAGTAAATGTGACAGACAGAACTTACAAATTCGCATACAATTTGTATGATGATACCTTCTACATGTTTTAAAACAAGGGCTACATTAAGGTTTTTGACGGCAATGGCTGCGGCAAGGTCGACAGCGTCGAAGCAGCGATCGTATTTTAGCTCGACCTTTTCCTCGAAACAGATGAGCTATAAGCACTTTGATAAAATTAAAACAGATATTCATGCACATTTAAGAATATATGATACATTGCAAGACTGAGAACTGCTAAATGTCATACCAATAGCTTTTCCTAAATAAACCCCGCCAACTTCATCAAATTTGTTTTCTGATAGTACAACCTCTTCAATGTAGTCGTTTTTCTGAAAATAGCAATCAAATAATAAAATTTATGCAAAACTCGGAAATTGTCGCCATGAAATCGTTTTTTTTTTAAAGTATGCGAAAATGTGAATGTTATTCACAATTTACTTTGATTATCATCAGTGGAGATAAGAAAATAATGTTTGGCATTATCCCTTAAATTGTATCTGGTATATATATTGCTAGGTTATGCTAAATATATAGGGAATTGGATGCTGTCGGGTAAATTGTGCACACAGGACCATATATTTACTACAAGTCAGATGTAATTAATATTAGTTCACATGCTTGAATCGGAAACTATCATTTAATAGTAGTAGATGAACAACTAACCCACCTTGTATCAAACATACACGTTTTAGAAGTTAGCAATTACTATTATGTGTCTGATGTACCTACCTGTATGATATTGGCCATGATTTCTGCATGTTTTCTTTCAAATTTGTTTTCTGAAAGACGAAGAAAAAAATAAATAGAATGGGCATCTTTAAATCACAAAGTTGTACACCGACCTGCTTTCTTTTTTCAGGATATTTACAAGAACCAAAAAGGAAAAATTATCAGCCACTATTTTGCAAAGTTGATAATTCGATTACGGAAAATAATTATGTTCGTTTTTATTTTGTATGACAACACGTCTAAAAGACCAACCATACCTATAATTTTGTTAGTTAAAGTCCCAACATTTCGATCTTGTACGTATAATAATTAACAATAAGATATTTAATAATAACTTACTGGATAGGTCTATCCTCGTCATTGGTTTCTGTTCTATAAATAGATCACCTAATGCTTGTAACCCGGGTAGGTCTATATTGCACCGGCTTAACGACTGTAATTAAAAGAAAACATTAATTCCATTTCTATTTAAGTCAAGAAAAGTCAACACTTTATAATTCAATTTATTGCCATACTTAATCTTTCAATTTGAGGCCTAATTTTTTAAACATTTTGACCCACGTCGCTCCAGTGAGATGTTTTAATCTTTTTTTTTTCTTATTGTTAGCGTATAACTATTATGAAAACCGGAATTTTAAGTAGAATAAAAGACAGTTGTTGTTATATGTTTATAATATCAAAAAGGCCCTACGTGCAACAGATAACCCCGATATTTTTATGCAGGAACATGTAAATGATAACTCTTCAGCATTTTTACATGCAATCTTGTCGTTTATGTCAATGACATGTTATCAGAAAGGGTTATTTTTTGAAGAGAAAGAAATAACGCATTGTTTGTAATTAACATCAGCTTTTAAAAGAAATATTTAAAGCAACTGATAACATAACAAATGGACATACAGTGGATATTAAAATTTTAACCATTTCAAATATATTAGAAAAGAAGTCTTTGCCATGTGCGAATGTACAAAAACGAAATATAAGAAAAATGATACCAACCAAATCCTCTACAGTATTGTTTTCTCGGAGAGCCTCGGCAACGTATTTTGCGCCTTTATCTGACAAATCATTCCCTGACAAATCCAGTTCTTTTATAGTTACGTTTGACTGCAATAAATATTTGAACATACATTATCAAACGATGATAATTTGCTTACATAAATAAGATTGTTATGTTTGTATCTTACACATATTAAAGGGACTCCACTTGATTGTCTTTTTAAATGACGGGACTCTTTTTTTCCAAGAGTACTATTCCGTTTGATGCGGATTAAGACAGATAACTTGTGTGCAAAATTTGTGATCATTCGATACCTTCGGGGTTTTTCCAACAATGATTATTCTTATTCTGATGAATAAGACAAAACTGAAAAACGTTGGAACGCTTTTCACTCAGACCGAATCATGAATAGCACACAAAAAAAAGATTTTCAATTTATCTGAAAGCATATTTCTAATTATTGTTTGTATTTCTTTCTGTTTTAAGTGTCCAAGCTGCTCTATGTAGGAAATTAAAATTTTATGTTTTTGGGTTTCCGACCTCAGAGGAGCTCCTTTAATGCTGTGATATTGGACAATGAGATCAGTTGAGTTGTAGTTACTGGGTACGGATCATTTTGTTAGAATATTTAACATAATCAAAACATTGAAATTAGTATGGTAAATGGTTATGTGCAGAAATAAGCTCAAATTATAGATATAATTTTTCCTAGTAGACAAAAATGAGATAACTAGGTATTCAAAAAAAATCATTGATAAAATTATTTATTGTAATACCGTATATTAGCAGGAAAATCATACATACAATTATGATTTATTTATATTATGTTCTTGTTGTTAGTAAAAAAATAGTAATACAATGTACGTGTACAGGTATTCATTAAATAACGTCATACCGTTGAAAAAAGTTTAAAATATAGGCCAAGGGATTAGGTGACGTCATTAATCCAGATTGATTATTATTACGATATAAAAACAGATATGAAAAATGTGTGACACTGTTAGCGTTTCGGTTTGATGACTTCACAATAATGGCTATATTATCTATTACCATTTTCATCTCATTATAATGTATTGTACACACGCAACAACAAAATCAACAATATGTCGGGGGGGGGGGGTAAATAGCAATTAAAAGGATTTGAAAAAGCACAAAACGAGTAATTTGCGGAAAAAATTAAGGGGGTCAAAACATCACAAAAGGTATGAATTGAGCCAAATACTTTATTTTTAGTAAAGTTTTCTGACTTGAAAAGTAGGAGCTAGTATAATGTAATGAGGTGCGTACATAGTCACTCATCATTGAAGAAAAAAAGCAATGTCATTTGTTGGGACCCAATGGACAACAGAAGTTTCCTGATGTGAGGTCATTTGGACAAAGCTCAAGGACACCATTACCAATAATAGCTTGTCAGACTAACAACTAAAGATCGCTTTGACCCTAAATCTCAATATTTGGTGTAAAACCATTATATGTACTTGTAAATGATCACTACTAGGTTAGTTGGTCAAAGGTTGAGGTCATCATGTTCTTTGACCATTTAAAGCTTACACAATCAATAAATAGAGAAAGCTTTGGTCTACAGTTCCAAGATTAAGTGTGGACGTCGGTCATTATTAATGCAGGACCGCAAATAACTTTGAGGTAAAAAGGTCAAAGGTCACATAACATTGACTACTAAACGCTTGCCAATAATTAACCAAAGTGTTGGCCTACAGTCTTAAAAAGTGGTGTGGATGTCGGTCATCACTAGAAAATAATCGCTCCTCTGTTTCAATGTCTTTGTGTAAGGTAACAGTGTATGTGAAATGACATCATTGATAATGATCAATCATTTAAGAAGGCCTAAAGTCAAGTGTTTTAAGCTTAGTAGGAAAATTTCCCTTGGCAGACAAGGCGATACCGCTTATTTGCTTTGAGGTCATCAGGTGAAGGTCATAGTGATACATGAAATACTTGTCTTGTCAATAAAGATTTTGTCCTGACATAGGTTTGTAAAACTTGCATTGGTTGAGAACATACCAACCATTCATTGTAATTCTAATTATAGGTATATTAATTCTAAATAATATGCAGAAACCCTAATAGAAACACATTGGAATTACTTATAATGATTAAAATGTTATTTTAAATACACCCATACCGCCAGAGACACGCATATTGATTTGACATCTTTGGTTCCTAGAAGACTGTTTGAAACATCGGCGACACTGTCGGAGATCTGTCTTTTAAAACTTCCACACGGCGTTATTCCCTGTAACTTGCACATCCGGTTGTAGTTGTCAGTGTGCATGTCAGTGATGGATTTTTGCTCCGCCTGTTTCTCTTTTTCCGCCTCGTCATCATCTGGTGAATTAATCAGAAATTGAAATAAAACTATGTAGATCAAAGTACAGTACTATGGTTTCATACTTTTAACAAAAAAAGAAACAAACGACGGTATTGGTAGTGTGGTTGACGCGTAGATTTTTTTATCTACGAATTGCCAGAACTCATATAAAAGTGTATCTATAAGCTTATAAATTTTTATTCAATCATTTTAAAATAATTTTCTGCGTAATCTAAATTAAGCCCTATATTAAAATTATATCAGATAATATTTGTCAAATATCTTATAATGTAAAAGCTAATAAGCCTATATAAAATGTTGTAAAAGACATGGTTATTAAATAGCCACGTGTTCAGTCTCTAACATTGATTACAAATATTGTTGAAATTAGTACCATAAAAGTGAAGTACCTATCAAGGGAATGATTCGCCCAACATCCAAGTCAATCTTTAATCTATCCCACTGAATCATAGTAACTTACGTTTTATAAAAACTTTCACCTGACAAAGTGTTTTATAGCATTGTTCGTGGATATTCTTATGAACGGCATGTACATTGTATACATGTTCCAGATCATATGCAACATTAATTTGTTTTCTTATGATTCTTTCCATGTTTTGTGTTAAAAACGTTCCATATATATTTGAGAAATATTTAAAGAAACAAAAACAAAATACTAATGCAGCGTGATGTATGACCTAAAGTTATGAAATATAAAGATTAAAGGCATCGAATTATTTTCTAAAGAATTGAAATATGTAATGTATATCATCAATCAAAGTTTACTATAACTGTTTTTACAAAGTTTTACGTTATCACAATATTGATTGTAGTTTGACCTTTATCATTCTCTAGATTTAAACAAGTCAGAATAATATTTCCCTCACATGGCGTCAACTCGTGTATTTAGAATGTCTTATAATGACTTATATCAAACTAGAACTGAACCGAACATGAAACACGTTTTATAATGATATACGCCAATAAAATTATATCTATCGATATGAGATTGCAGCAATATAATTATATAATTATACACATGACATGGGTTTTTTATGTTGTATAATAGTTAATAGATTTATTTAATAAAATAAAGTATATCAAAAATTAAAGATATGAAGAATAACCAAGCTAGGATATGTACGATATATTAAATGTTGTGAGCTTACTAACTCACGTGACAGTTTATGTCTGAAGGCTGTTGTCGTCATAGTTATTGGTTAGTACATGCACTACATACGGAAATTTATTTTATTAAACATGTTCAATACGACAATCAGATTCTATCATATAAAATGTGTATAATTATAATTAGTTAGTTAAGATTACCCGAGTACATAAAAACCTGAGTCTTATATATAGACTAAAAGGTTATATAACATTGCACACAATAAAGCAGCAACAACAAAAAATACATTTTTACTCAAAATTGACGTTTTATCTTGCCGCATTGTACATGTACATGTAATAATAAAAAAAGTCTATTTGGCGATTAGAGCGTACAGCATTTATACAAACTCAACTTTACAGCCATTGTTGTACCCATGTGCCATATACACTAGTTACTGATACACTGAAAAAGTGAACAAGAATATTTATATTTCAGAAGTAATAAAATGATGGTGAAAAAAAAATACATTTCTCTTACCGTCTGAGTCAAAACTGAATTCCTTTATTGTGTTTGGCAGTCTAGTTTCCTGTGGCGGTTGGTAACCGTATCCCACCGATATCCTCCGACTTCTAGCCTCACTGATTTCTGTCTTTGGATTATGTTGAACCTGTTCGTTACATTTACTTATGTCTTTGTCTCTTATTATATTAGTTTTTTCTGTAACATTTTGTGTATCTACAGATTGAACATTGACAGCTTCTGAAGTACGGTTAGATTTTGAGTCTGGGAGGTGTATTTGTGTACTTGCACATGAACTTCGTCTGCGGCTGTTTAACTGTGTCAATGCTGATTGTGTTACTGGGCCCGTTTGAGGGTCAGAAATTATCCTCCGTGTCACTGGCTGTGCTCTAGTATGAGTCGTGTGTGAATGAACAATCTTGGTACGAGTCCCGCCTAGAGTGGTTCGGCTCATATGTGCCCCTTTATGTAGCTTCAACACCGCCGAGTGGCCTTCAACATTTCCACTTTCAGTGCGCATTTTCTAAACCTTGTGTCGTCACACCGATCTTTTATATCCTGAATGTTACATTAAAAGTGCATACTAGTATATTATTTATTGAGATTTGAGAAGTCACCATGTACTTTTATATATAAGGTTTGAGCTGATCTGACCTAAATACAGATTTAAATATACAACAATAATCTTTTCGCTAATTGCCAAAACTTCAAAATCAATCTGTTGAAGGGATATAATACAATGCACTTTACAATATAATAGCACATGTCGTGGAGTGGACAAGGTCAGTAAATGGCGACAAATATAAAACTTATTATACACTTTTATTTTTATTACTTTACTTGCATAATAACACATTTTCATTCACAAACATGAATGCAATCCCCATTTAGTATCAAGAACATAATATAATGTAATAATTGTAATTAAAATTGTCTGGTAAAATGTTTTTTCAGATTGATGTAATACATTATGTATTTTAGATACAAATATACATGCTTTTTTTATTTTTAAGTACCCTGCAATTGACATGAAATGTTTAAAGATCCTGAGGTCTGATTATCTTGGTGGTTGTTATTTTATTTGCTTATTTCTTACTTAGTACAAACATTTATTTATGTAATGTTATGTTATTTTCTAGCAGTCCTAGATGTTCATATAGATATATATATTTGTATTGTTTTAATCAATTTCGACCGATCATGCAAGTGAACATAAAATAAAAATTGATAAGACTACCTTGTCATTTAACAGTGCAGTAAACTAACCCTAGCAAAACGTCCACGCTATAGAATTTTTCATTAAAAACAGAAATAATGTAGGATAAATTCATTTATCCAATTCAATAGATATTCTTGAAAGTAAGATAGTTGAGATAAAATAGAAAAAATCAAAATATGCTAAAATCACGAAAATTGCCATAAAAAATGATGATAACAACAACAAAAAGACCGAACATTTGGTGATTTTCATTTTTTCTTGAATGAACAGCATACCTTTTTATCTGAATGCATTATTTTGTGAAGTAAAAATTGGCTGAAACTATTGGAATTATTCAACGGAATCTAATCAGAAATAAGGTAATTTTTACATGCCAACATTCAAGACGCTACTCGAAATATATATTTATAAACTACAAGTTAAACTACAGAAAAAACGTATTTAGATATAAATATCATATATTATAAGTCTCTGTAAATATGTATTGTTTGTAAAAGGCAATCGCCGTGTATAGTGAGAGATACAAATATATCAAACATAATGTTATATAGACAATGCATTTTAAACTGTACGCTAATCAGCAAATCTCATTTCTTTTATCTTTGACATAATGCATAGTAAATAAAACCAAAATTCTTTTAATTTACGTCGAATGATCATTATAACATTATATCATCAAAAAGACTTTAAAAAACACACAAAAAATAACAACAAAAAAGCATATGTACTCTGCAAGAATATTAATGACATTTAGTACTTTGAAATAACATATTTTGTAATACGTGTTCAGTGAAATTAAAATACCTACCTTTGCTTATTCCTGGATTCACGAAAAGAAACTTTTTTAAAATGTCATTATTTTTTTTTAAGTTCTTAAAGTTCGATTTATTTGTTACTTTATCTATATCTTTCTAACGTTTAAGAAAATAATCGTTTCCTGATTTACCCTAAAGTCGTGCCCTAACTAGTACAATCAGAACGTAATCAGCCTTTGTGACATTTCTTCCTGGGGAAAAGGTGTGAAGTTTTAGGTGGATTAATAAAACTTTTAAAGAAAATAATCCAAATGTTAATCCATGAAACTATTATATGTCAAAGGACTTAGATCATGTTTAGAAGTTTGTTATACTTACTGTCCCACTTTTTTATATTTATAAGAATTATACATAAACATATTTATATATCTGATTTGAATAACAAGCTTTATCAATTAAGTAAACTGGTATTACTTTGAGTGTCAAAAAAATAAATTAGTTAACATTATTAAGAGCGGGAATACGACGACGCGGCATTGATTCAAATTAAAATTATGTGTATTTATTTTCATAAAATTCTACGTAAACGTTTTTTTATATAAGAGATTGTGCTTATGATAATTATTTTCATTTGATCGAATTTTCTTTTGATCGGTTTTAATTGGTATTTACCGAGACATTCCTGTGTGGAGGAAATTAACATTTTGTGTCAAGTTTCCTAATAATGAGAGATACCGGGGAAGACTTGTTTCCCCGTGCTATACTGTACGTAAAAAACGTTTCCTATAAATTAGCTTCATTTTTTATCAATACATAGAAGGTAAAATTAAACTAGCGCGAGGAACATTCTTAAAATTTGCACAATTAGAGAATCCTAATTGAAACAAATCTGTGAAATTAGGGTAATCATGCTATTTCATTTAATTTAGTTATCTGCCCATAAAAAGGAGTTTTTTTTTTCTTCAAGTATGATTCTCTATAATTATGCAAAGTTGAAAAAGTTAAAGAATATTCTACACCCTAGTTTAATGTTTCCTTCGTTAACATCTGAAAAATGGCGCCACTGAAACGTCTTAGATATTGTTACAGTTCATAACATATAGCAGTATATATGCAGAGGTATATATTCTTTAATTACAAAATGAAAATTGTTGGTATATGTGAGGAGGGGATCGAAAGACCGAACATGTCCATAAAAATGTAAATGGTTGCAAGATATGAACAAACTACATGTGTTCGGAGATTCTCAATGTACGTTCATATTGTTAAATGCATGAACATAACAGAATATTCATTTTGACTTTTAAAAGCATGTACAGCTTATCAGCAATTATGAAAATACGATCAGTGATCACATATGTGTCGCCTGATGATAGCCAATTGCATGTTGCAGCTACTGTGTAGCGGAATACACAAAATCATTATCAATAGATCAAAGATTAGAAATTAATGATAAACTATAAACTGGTCGTCGGAAATATATAATAATACAGAATGAAGGATTTAGATATGTCTGGGAATTTCCAAATTAGTCGATATAGATATATTATATCAGTGCTGATGTGCTCACATTCTGACTACAAAACAACTAAAAAAGTCTAAAAGAATAAAAACAATTTACAAATGTTTTATCATAAATAAATAAAATAATTAACACGAAGCAGGCACAGGCTGTCACCCCCCCCCCCCCTTACCCCCCGCAAAAACCCGTTCTGTATCCGCCCCTACAAAATAACAGCAGCTAACGCCTCGTGTTACATTTTCCTCGCGTGATATTGTTTTACTGTTACTCACAAACCTATAAACATAGATACCCATTATTCATATATAAAATATCATTATGAATTTAGTACATAGAACCATCATTATTCAGGACATTTAGTAGGTCTTTACCAGATAAAATTGTCTTGTTCAATTATATAGCGACACCGTTAAAGGTCATTTCCGGGTCAAGAAAGCGGTCAATTATTAACATTTAAAAATAACAATATCTATTTGCGATTTTGCTGTCAACGAGCCGCTGATTTTATATTTAGTTGAAAAGGTAAGGACATTATTTAAATAGTTTTTACATATATCAAAATTTCTGATCAGAACCTATTCCGTGAATTTATTCAGTAGATAAATCGAAATGTTTTTTATCCATGGCAATGTTCTATTTTTAGCGACCTTGCCCTTCTTTTAGCCTAAATTTAGGTTTATTTCTCAAATATTTATTCATAAATGTGCATGGTTTCTACATATGTTCATTTGATTTCGAATCATTTATTGCCAATTTGTTTAGAATATTTCAATTGCGTACTTCTTTGTCGTCGTTTGGTGAATTCGATAAAATGGCGGCCATCAATAGGATCAACATTATCTCGGCCAAGAGTTCAAGGTCAAGGTCGAGTGTACTTTCATGTGTTGAATTGTTGATAAACAGGAAAGTAGGTCAAAAAGAGGGGAACATGTGGATATTAAAGCTGAAATCTTTCAAAAATGATGATGTAGATTTATTTTTCATGATTTTATAAAAATTATTGAATGTTTATAAAATTATTGATCTATAAATATCAGGGTCTTTTAAATAGAACTATTTCACTAATTGAAAGACTCTGAATTAACAGTGTTAAAAGTTTTATGTATCTGATGCCAAGTTCCATATACATGTATGGTACTCACATCTTCAGCTATTGCTTCAAGACACCTATGGTAACATAAAACATACATTACAATAACTAAAGAAATATTGTTGCCGCATTTTTATGTGTTTTATATGCAAAGCAGCATGTTGATATATGTGACACTATAGAATGTGTTTATGTATATTTCCCTGAATGAATCAAAAAAGTACCTTATGGCTTACCCCTCTTTGGTGAAACTTGATTGAAAATCGTGGTGGCGCGATATCTCAGTTGGTTAAACCACTGACTATCACTCCTGAGGTCCCGGGTTCGATCCTGGGTTACACCCAGGGCTCATCCGGAAGGGCGATTCAGGCGAAAACTTCGCCGTGTATATTCCAATTTCGCTCTTCCGATTGATCAAAGAGAAGTCAACATCGCCGATAAAATCTTAATTCCAAATAGTAATTACTTAGCAATGTAAAGAGCAGAGATTGTATCCGCCCATATGACGACCGCTAATTATCATTATCCAATCAGAGCGTCGCTTTATACTACCCTTCTACCTGTAGGCGAAGCGATAGACCGCCTACTCTAAACAGTAAATAATGAGAGCATCGGCCCGAAACGGTATAATTGTGTGATAGTTTGCAAGTTTAATACGGGATTTGGCGATAATTATACATTGTTTTTTCCCCGATTATCTAAACACGTGCAATCTTCCCTAATTGATATACAGGATGCACTTCGATGGTGGGTTTTTAACCCGAGTAAAGGCGATGTGCAATGGATTTTTCACGGCTTTCACAAAACTGTTAGTCAATTAAAAATAATCAATTTCATTAATGATCAGCGACCGGATTAAAAACTTAATCATAGTTTTGAATGATTTCAGTCTGTTAACATCAAATTTTTACTGTAAAATTGTTATGTCGCTCACGTCATGGCTACAGGGCGAAATGCCCAAACCTAGCATTAAAACTAAAAGAAAGTTACTGATTCTGATACACAAACGCGAAAATTTAAGAAAACCATTTTGCAAAAATCTTGCGATTGGTATGTTGTAGACAGTGGGGGTGTTTGGCATTGTTCTGTTTTAAGAAATGCCAAATTTGACACAGTTTACGCACGTGGGCAAGACATCCCGGCGGCTAAACTACATATCGGTCGTATATCATGTAAGGTATATAACAACAAAATTTGTCAAGAAGAGGAGTTCTTATTGTTTCAATATACATATTTGTTTTAATGTCGTAAATATGACGCTCAGATTAAGATTTATCAATTTTATAAATTTTAAAAAGCATTATTTATAAAGATATTACCGAATTTAACATTTCATGAAAATAAAGGGAGGTAATTAGAAATTAATTTTCTACAATTTCTCAGTCAAAGTTTTCAATAAGGAATGAATGTATGTAATTTTAGTGATCAAATATAATGTGCACAAATGTTTGCAGTACATATTTTACATATTCTTTGATGTTTGAAAATTGTTTTATAAGCATAATTATATGCATATAAATCTGACATTACAACATTCAGGACGTTCAAAGAAATTTCTGTTACCAGAACAGAATAGAACAGATTTTATTAATCAATATCCAAGCTTCATCTTCTAATAAAAGTGAGGAAAGAAAAAATATGAAATTGATTTTATCACATTATCAACAAATGTACATGAAAATATATAAACACATATTTTGAGAAAGCTTATAAATAGCTGATCAATAGATATCAAAAATAATTTTTTATATTCATATTTGCAGCTCAAAAACATTTAGATGCCATTGCCAGATCTACTACTAATTAATCTACTTTTAATTAATACTACTATTAATTAATCTACTATTAATTAATTAACTGGAGAAATATTATAAGTGATGTCAATTGTGTTTATATTATATTTAAAGGATGTATAGCCATGCATGTTAATGCATACACATTGGGTTGTTTCCCTTCTCCCTAATTTTCGCGAGGAAGTCACTTCTCCCTAAAATTTCCCCCCAGGATGAGCCCTGACGCCCTTGGGATTTTTCAGAGACACTTTCAGTGTTTCCCACCTACATAGAGGTGTACTGGTAAGAAATCCAGGTAATCCTCGCATGTATCAGTGCTATACACTGGGCATGTAAAGGAACCAAGGGGTCTATTCAATAAGAGCTAGGGACTGGTTCCCGGATTCCCTTGTATCTTAAAAGCTGTTTCTTAAATGTATACAATGTATACCTGCCTGTAACACTCGTAAGAGGGGTTGGCAGTATCCAGAGATAGATAGATTCATTTGCATTTATTTTGTTTGTTTGTTTCATTTTACACCTTTTGCCAACAGTATTTCAGTCATATAGGCGGGTTGTTTCCTAACCATTGTTCCTGGAGAGTTACACCAGTACTATAGTATCTTCCTCCGTGCTAAACTACCAAAGAATCTCCCAGGGATCGAACCCACACCAGAGAGGTAACTGGATTAGAAGTCATCGACTCTAACCCCTCGACCACGGAGGCGGTTCATTAATTTTGTAATTTACAAACATATTGATAATGGTGACACATTATATCAATGGTGCTGCATGTACTATATTTATAATCGTTTTAAACATATGATATTTTTATCATAATCTTGTTCTCTCTAATTTCATGCTAAAATTTAAATCTAATCTTGGAGAAAAACTGCTATAAATATGTTTTTTGTGCCCCCACGATTTAGATTTGCCGTTGTCCATCAGTCCGTCCATCCGTCCGTCCGTTCACTTTTGTGTCGCACATAACTCAAAAAGTATTTGACCTAGAGTCATGAAACTTTACAGGAATGTTGATCAACATGTGTAGTTGTGCACCTGGGTATTTTCGTCTGGATATTTTTAGTATTTTCAGAGTTATTGCCCTTGACTTAGTAAAATTTTTGCAATTTTCTACTTGTGTCGCATGTAACTCAAAAAGCATTTGACCTAGAGTCATGAAACTTTACAGGAATGTTGATCAGCATGTGAAGTTGTGCACCTGGGTATTTTCGTCTGGATTTATTTAGTATTTTTAGAGTTATTGCCCTTCACTTAGAAAATCTTTGCAATTTTCAACTTGTGTCGCAAGTTACTCAAAAAGGATTTGACATAGTCATTAAACCTTATGGGCAGGTTGCTCAGCATATTAAGATTTGCACCTTGGGTTTTGCTTGTGAATTTATCCAGTATTTGTAGAGTTATTTCCTTTGACTTAGTAAAAAGATTGACAGAACAGTGGCGCGGTGGGGGCACCCGTGTCCTATGGACACATTTCTAGTTTGATTTAAAAGAATGATGTACTGCAGATTTGGTTTATGAAAATCATCAAAATATGAAGAATGTCCGGTCATCCTTGCCCTTGGTCACCTTATTGCTTTTTTATCAGCTTGTTCTGAACAAGTCAGGGGCGGCAATCAATTGTCTGTATTGGCCTGTACCAACAATTTGAAATTTTCAATAATTTATTTATCAATTAGACAGGTTAAGAATTGCTCAGGCATAGAAACTTAAGCCCGCCACCCCCCCCCCCCAAAAATAAAAATAAATTAATATTTATTTTACTATACATAAGGGTCATTATATGTGATATATCAGTAAAATCAGTTAATTTAATTTTATGTAATTGTCCCCGCCTTTTTAAAGAAAAAATGGGAGCATAGAAATAGGCTCCATCAATCCATCTGACCTTCTGTCACACTTTCATCCTAGTATAAAGTTAATTTCGATTTGAGATACATATGTATACTCTTCCTTGTGTGGAAGACAATTTAGAATGTCAGTCAGTATTCATGATTGTGTCACTGTCTGATTATAAGTAATAGAAAGAGCACCGAAACACGAGGCTATCTGATTTGTACGAGGGGGCGTGGCCCCCGAGTATAAATCAGATTGTCGAGTGTTTTGGTCTTCTTTCTCTTTTGTATCATAGTCAAACATAAAAGCACGTTCCCTGTATCACAATATGAAACCCCGGCAAAAATGAACCAATGAACAAACATCTGGATATGACATTTCTGTCGCTTTCCCTTTCTCTGCCGTCACAATATGTAAACCCAAGCAAAAATGAGCCAATCAATGGGCATGCTCTGGAGTGCGGGTAACTAATACCCGCACTCCAGTTAACGCACTGTGCATGTATATGTATATGATTTAACCCTGACACATTTTCAACAGAAAGGTCTCCAAACTATGATACAACATATATAATGTCATATATTTCACACATATATCTGCATCCTCTTTAAAACTTTGTGGTACAGTTATGATTTTAATTTTCAGTGTATACTGTCATGAAAGAATACAGTTCAGAGTCATAGGATATAAGCTGGATTGACCAGTTTTTGGATGGTTCATTATTCTACTATACAAGTTGGCAGTGCTGTTGAGAAGACTGGTAGGATAAAAGGACAAAAGGTAGAACTCCTTATTTACCTTGCATGTTTAAATATGTTAATTTGTCATGATAATTAACGATTACATATATTAAGCATATATTATTCCAATGCTTGATTTGTTAGCTGGATTTTTTTATCCCAGTCATTAGTTAGCATGTGGTTACTAAACACTTTTGTTAAAGTTTTGCTCTCAACTGTATTATCCTCCGTGGTTGAGGGGTTAGAGTCGATGACTTCTAATCCAGTTACCTCTCTGGCGTGGGTTCGATCCCCGGGAGATGCTTTGGTAGTTTAGTGCGGAGGAAGGTTGTCTAGTACTGGTGTAACTCTCCAGGAACGATGGTTAGGAAACTACCCGCCTATATGACTGAAATACTGTTGAAAAAGGCGTAAAATGAAACAAACAAACAAACAAAAGTATTATCCAACCCCATATCACACCAACAACTGATGCTATTTGCTTGAAATTTCACATATATTGTTATTAGTATGTTATATGGCCCTATATAAATGGTTGTTTGTAAATTTACCCAGAGCCGCTGGGCGAGGGTTAAATTGCCAACAACCTTTTTTTTACAGTCATATATCATGTCAGAAATATTTATAACAAATTTATTATACAGCAAGCATCATTTTAAGAGGATTAAAGGGTGATTTCTTCATAAATCGACAGCAGCCGTATATATAAAACTACATAAACATTATGATTATCCAATGAAAAACTACGTTACAAATGTGCAGTATCGTAAATGTTATTGTATTTCTGATCATAAGTGGCCAATATTGAAATGAAATATAACATCAATTTGACTAAATCCCTTTGTTAACATTTGGAATATTTCAGGTGAAAGGTTTCTGAGAGCTTTTATAGCTACTGTACATAAGTGTTTTTGCTTGAAACTTCATATACCTAGATCTGTAGGATCATATTTGAAGGTCAGTATAAAATACTCACTAGTTTCTCAAGCTAGGGTCTGGGCTGTCATTGAAACTGCAAATTTAATAAATCATCAATTTTTTGGTTGACCTTTTTTCCCTTGATCATTACTTTTAAGTTCTTGTCTTCATAATTGGACACTACAACTTTTGAGATAAGACCTTTGAAGAAGACCAGGCTAAACATGACTTTCGTTCATAATGACCAGCTATGAAATCTGGACCATGTGCTCAGTTTAAAATGTAAATTTGAACTTTGATATCAGCTGACCTAGATTTTGATGGATTAAGCTACTGTCTTGTCCTTTGATGAACAGCTATGAAATTTGGACCATGTTTTAGATGTAAATTTGAACTATGATATCAGCAGACCTAGAAAATTTGACAAATTTTTAAAGCTTATGAAGTTCTTGCAAAATCTGTGCTATAACTGGGGACATTATTATGGATATATATTGAAAGCTGAATGTTGAAAATATATGTAATTAAATAGTTACTACAGTGGACAAAAAAAAGATAACCAAAATAGAGCCACAGCTACATTCACAGAACACAGATATTTAAATATCCTACCAAATATCTTTGAGTTTGTTGCTCTTTACACAGATTAACACATGGTGCCTTTTACCTAAAAAAGAAAAGTAGCAAAAATTAAAACGCATTTGTGAGTATTGTTCCAAAATCTTTGACAAGTGATTATTAAGCTAGACAATTAGAAATTTATCATTGATTAGAACCTGATCTTTGACCAAAATGTATATTTATGATCAGTATTAAGGATGCGTTCAGGAGTTTTCATATTAATATTCTAGCAACATGCCAAGTTTAAAGAAATTCTATTGAACAGTTTTAATTTTGCCTATTGGTCTATATGAAATCTCCTGAAAATGTCTATAATCAATTCTTATGTTAATGTTTAAAGCCTTTTAAGGATTGTTGAATATCATCCGCAGGCTGTCTCCCCCCCCTCCCCCCACCCCCACATTTGTTTCGTAAACACTCTAGTGCTCACATTTTTGTCTCAATTATCATCAAATTTTGTCAGGATGCTTGTGTAGGTAATTTCTCGTATGAGTTTGAACGTGGGTGACATCTCGGGTGATAAACAAGGTCACAGGAGCTAAAAATAGAAAAATCTTGTTAACACTCTAGTGGCTACTGTTTTGATTCAAACATCTTTGAAATTGGTCTGAAAGTTTGTTTTGATGATTTCTAGGTAAAGTTTGAATATGGGTCACCTGGGGTCAAAAACCCCACCCAAATGTGGAAAAACCTTGTTTAACACTAGTGGTCACATTTTTGACTCAGTTGTCATGAAACTTGGTCAGGATGTTTGTGTAGGTAATTTCTCACATGAGTTTGAACATGGGTCATCTCGGATGAAAAACTAGTTAACAGGAGCTATTTGTTAACACTCAAGTGGCTACTGTTTTGATCCAAATATCCTGGAAATTGGTCTGCAAGTTTGTTTTGATGATTTCTAGGTCAAGTTCGAATGTGGGTCACCTGGGGTCAAAAACTAAGAAACACCGCCCAAATATGGAAAAACCTTGTTTAAACACTAGTGATCACATTTTTGACTCGATTGTCATCAACTTAGTCAGGATGCTTGTCTAGGTAATTGCTCGGACCCTCTAGTTTCTCTGTCGTAATGCTTTACATATATTGTTATAATTTGTATTGGACTTTTGTTTTCATATTTATTTTATAGCTGTGTGTCATATGTGCTGTTAACAACAAAAAGATTTCCAATGTATTTGTAAAATATTTTTGGGGGATAGATTTGGCCTTAAAATAGCTCCATGATATTTAATAAATACACAGGTCACATCACTTAAAAACACCTAGATGCCTTTGCATTTAAGAATGGTACAAAGGGATCTTGTAAAACAGACAATATTTACTAAATGATAAAAAATTAGGGACTTTTAAAGCTGACGACTGTGTGACCATTCATTTGAAAGACTGCAATTCTATTACTGTATTATACAAAAAATAATTTCGAACACTTTGTCTGATTTGGATAAAACTGAAATAACTTATTGACGACAATCTGCCATTATTTTCATTATTCTGTTTAAAGTTATTCTTGATGAGGAAGCACTGTCGTTTAATTATGTAGAAAACTTAATGAATGTTTTTGTGAAAAACATTAGTCTGATACTAAAATTATTCTTGTTTACAGCTTATTGTGAAAAAATAAAAAAATATAGTTTGTCATATTACATTTGTATATGATACATACATCAACTGTTTTTTTACAGTTTTGTTTTTAGTTACAGGGTTTTAAATCTATGATTTTGCAACTTTGTTTTGTTATGCCCCCATTTCGAAGAAAAAGGGTATATTGCTTTGCACTTGTCGGTCCGTCGGTCCGTAGACCAAATGGTTTCCGAGTGATAACTGAAGAACCCTTAGGTCTAGGAACTTCAAACTTGGTATGGTGATTGGTCATGACCAGTAGATGACCCCTATTGATTTTGGGGTCAAGGGGTCAAAGGTCAAGGTCACATTGACCTTGTAAGCAAAAACGGTTTCCGATCAATAACTAAAGAACCTTAAGGCCTAGGAACTTCAAACTTGGTTTGGTGATTGGTCATAAACAGTAGATGACCCGTATTGATTTTGGGGTTAAGGGGTCAAAGGTCAAGGTCATATTGACCTTGTAAGCAATAACGGTTTCCGATCAATAACTAAAGAACTTTAAGGCCTAGGAACTTCAAACTTGGTATGGTGATTGGTCATGATCAGTAGATGACCCCTATTGATTTTGGGGTCAAGGGGTCAAAGGTCAAGGTCACATTGACCTCTTGGGTAAAAACGGTTTCTGATCAATAACAAAAGAACCCTTAGGCCTAGGAACTTCAAACTTGGTATGGTGATTGGTCATGACCAGCAGATGACCCCTATTGATTTTGGGGTTAAGGGGTCAAAGGTCAAGGTCACATTGACATTGTAGGTCAAAACGATTTCCGATCAATAACTAAAGAACCCTTAGGCCTAGGAACTTCAAACTTGGTATGGTGATTGGTCATGACCAGCAGATGACCCCTATTGATTTTGGGGTTAAGGGGTCAAAGGTCAAGGTCACATTGACTTTGTAGGTAAAAACGATTTCCGATCAATAACGAAAGAACCCTTAGGCCATGGTGATTGGTCATGATCAGTAGATGACCCCTATTGAATTTGGGGTCGAGGGGTCAAAGGTCAAGGTCACATTGACCTCTTAGGTAAAAACGGTTTCCGATCAATAACTAAAAAACCCTTAGGCCTAGGAACTTCAAACTTGGTATGGTGATTGGTCATGACCAGTAGATGACCCCTATTGATATTGGGGTTAAGGGGTCAAAGGGCAAGGTCACATTGAGGTTGTATGTTAAAACAGTTTCCGATCAATTAACTAAAAACGCTTAGGCCTAGGAACTTCAAACTTTGTATGATGATTGGTCGTGACTAGCAGATGACCCCTATTGAGTTTTGGGTCAAGGGGTCAAAGGTTAAGGTCATGACCAGTAGATACTTGATAACCCTTATCAATTGTTTGATCACTGGGTCAGAAGTCATGCATTATAACCTTGTCACATGACTAATTGGCTGCTGATAGGGGGCATACATGTTTTACAAACATATCTTGTTTTTAAATTCTAGTTTGAAAATTGCCAAGTCACAGAGTGGATGTGGAAAGATTAACACATGGTTATGCAGTGAGGACCGTGGACTTGAAAAGTATGTTAATATATATAGTGAATTTTCAGTATGAAAAAACATTGACATTTGGATGGGTGTATGTACTTTGAAAATGTCATTACAAAACCAAATGTGTAACCTCAGTAAATGAATACTTAACTTACTTACAGTGAAAATTATCAAATATAATTTCACTGTAAAAAATTTGAATTATCAAATATAATTGTTCTTTTCACTACAAAGGATGTAATAAAATCAGCATATTAAATGTTTTATCAAGTATAATTTTAATTTTTCATCTGAACGAGTTCTTTCCCTTACCTAATCACTTTTATTTTTCATATTTCAGCATGGCAAAATTACCAACTAGTTATTCAGGGGCAGCAAACCATACAGATATTATCCAATTGCTTCATGATGAAGTTGTCTCCCTTTGTCAGAAAAACTACAGCACAGTGTCTGGTCTTGAAATAGATGGAATCATTTGTATTTCATTTCTTGACACAAAAGAACAACAGGTGGTAAAAATTCACAAGACCCTGAAATCTGTATATGCTGATCATAAAAATAAAGCAAAGAAGCAGAAAACACATGATCAGCCTTCTTGTTGGCTTCAGGGGAATTCAGGGCTCCCTGCAGAAGCTAAAGGTAACAATTCAGAAAATTTCCAGAATGATATTAATGTTCTAAGTAATTTACTTAGAGATACAAATGCTGCAATTAGTAGAGAGCTTGTACAGAAATCAGATGGGGAATCTGTCTCGAAACAAAGTAAACGAAAAAGAAAACAACCAAAACAAAGAGTAACAAACGATACTGAGCCAGTAGATAAGATTAATGAAACAAACAATACATGTTTGCCAATGGTAAACAATGATCAAGTTTTGGAGGGAAACAGTGTTGAAAATTCCCCAGGAATTAATCCATTTATTCATAAAGATGTTATAAAAGTAAAGGAAGAGAAGATAGATCCAGATTATGAATCAGCTGAACAAAGTCATCTGAAGATTGTAGATGTCTCGTGTGGTCTTACAAATAAAGACATGACTGAATCAGACCCTGTTGTAGAACAAACTAAAGTTTCCTCTATAATTGATCGGCTTATTGAAAGAGAAATTCCAAGGGATAGAGATTCTGATACAACTGAAGTGAGCCAAGAGAGAGATAGTGTAGATAAAGAAGTTAAAGCTGAACCAGATGGAATGTGTAATGGAGATGAATTCCAAGCTATTGAAGTGAAAGTAGAAAAAGTGGTTGATGAGAGTGAATATGGTGGTGTAAAGTATGACCAGGAAGAGGTAAATGGAGCAAATTCTGTTAGTACAGGAGGCAGTAATTCAGAAGCAGAAAACTTTGAATGTCCACAAGATTGGTTGTATGATGATCATTCCTCCCTAGGTGAAATAGGAAAAAGTGCACTTCTGGACAAGTTACATGAGAAAGGAAGTATAGCTTTAAAAGGTTATCCAAGAGAGATAGGGAGAGTGGAGCGTGATCCTCGGGGAAGGTCCTGGATTGAAATGGTTAAGGACAATGTTAACAAATATCAAGCAGCTTTGGAGAGATCTGGTAAAGCCAGGCCAGATGTTGATATTGAACGTAACGCTGTCAGCTTGAATACTGTTCAAACATCGCAGCTTGCAAAAACTTCATCTAGTCTTGTAGCCTTGCTGAAACAGCCAGCAGCTAATGCTTCTAGATCAAAAGAGATAACTTCAAATGTAAAATATGACCATACTAGAACTTCTCGTGGTTCAAGTGTACCAATACATGGGACTAACCAAATTCCTGAAAGAAGTAGCTCAGTTTCTCCTGTTGTAAAGATAGAGGTGGATGAAGATATGTCTCCTGATGTCTATTCTCAAAGTGACAGTGAAGTAAATGGTGATAACAAGAATAGCTATCATAAGTCAGAGACTCTTCAAGACAACAAATTGGTTACAACAAAGGCACCTCCAGGTAAACTTGAATCAAGATATCCAGCATTGTTTAGCCATTTACAGCAAGCTAAGCAGGCAAATGTAGACAATCAGGACCAGCCAGACTCTCTAGTGAACAGACTCCCATTTATATCATTCCAGGAATTATTCTCTCCAACCCCGACTGGAACGCCTGCAACAGGACTTAGTGAAGCAACCACCAGGCAACTTCTTGCTCAGGCTAGAATAAATCCTTATCCATTTAAAGAAAAACACAAAATGCCGAGGAAAGTTTGGAATTGGAAAAAGCGACAAGTGAGGCCTAAAGATGCACATGGTAATGTAATGTCGCCAATTCCTTTTCATTTGAAAAGTCATTCTTCCAGTAAAAAGACGTTTTCTAAGAGGGGTGCACGATCAGAGCAGGAAACAGACAGTGATTGGCAGCCTGAAGAAGAAAATGTAGATGTAGACTCTGATAATAATGACAATATTCCAATCCCTGTAGAAACAGTATGTTCCCCAGGGAGGAGAACTCGCCTGTCATGTGGTGAAAAACCAAGAATCAATTTTGCTGAGCTTGATAATTCAGACATTGAAATGGATGAGGAAGATATGATTCCAGTTTCTACCAGGAAAGTATTGACTGAAAAACCAGGGGAGAGAACTTCAGTATTTCCTGGAGGTAGTAGTGATCAGTTACTGGCTGCATTTAGTGCCAGAAGTGAACAGTTAAATAGTGCGAGTAACTCAGCAACAGAACAGTTCAAGTGTTCTCTTTGTGGTTTAGAGTTTAATCAGGAATATAGATGGCATTATCATCTGATAAAAGTTCATGGTATCACTGCGGATAAAGTAAAATTATTTAGGTGATACAATGTTTTGACAGAAAATATGTAAACAAGATGAATGATAGCATGTATACTTGTGTGTGGTATATCCCAGTGATTTTTTTTTCAATTTTCAAAACAACCTGTGGCTCTCCGAAGGGGAAAATAAAGCGCGATAAATCCGAAAAGGGGGAAATGAAATTATTGAATCTACCCACACATTTTGTAAAATGTTCAATTTGAATTTAATTTAACATGCATGGTACAAAACAAAGGCTATCTATCATGTCTATAAGGACAGCTAGCTGATACAAGTCAGCTGCTGTTGAGTGATGGTTATGGTGAAGAAATGTGCACAGGGCATTTTAGGGGAAAATATACCAATTTTGGCTAGGGGAAACAGCCTTTATTCGGCTATAAATACAGGGGGAAAATCACTGGCAAGTTTAAACTAAGTGTTATATCTATACATCTTATATATATGTGTATATCTGGGACATATCTAATGGGACAAGCAACTGGAGCTTAGAGTCACATTAACTTTTTCGTCCAACAATTGTGCACAAGCTGTTACCTTTGTGAATAGGTATATTTTTGTCCATGAAAACAGTATTAATAAGAAGAATATAAGTAGATTTCAACAAGCCATTGTCTTAAAATGATGTCGTGAAAATATGAGGAAAACACTAAGCATATTGATCACTGGCTGTCAATTGGACGCCAAAATAAGATGCTCTTACTTTGTTGTAAGTTCCTTGTGCCATTATAGTATGTTCTAGTATATATCTCAGTGTTAGCGATTTTCCCTAACTTTACTGAGTACCTGGGACTCAGTGCTAATAGATCTGTTACGTCCCAATTCAAATGGAACGAGTCCTCAGTTACAAAAATGTCAATGTTTGCATAACTTCATAATACAATCAAATTTGTGACTGTTGATGTTCGCGGATACCATTGATAGGTTGGCCCAAAACGAGGCCGAGCACTTGCTCCTAGTCTACGTTTGGGATATAAATCTGCATTGCTAATGAGAAAGGAACAAATGAAAATGAGGTGAAAGTCAAGTTCTTATAATACAATTTATTTAAAGTGAATAGAAAATCATTTTCAAGCAGAGCAAAAAAACTTAAGAGAGAATTGACCAATTATCGGGGAAAAAGTGTTTCATCCCAGGGACTCAACAGCCCTTTTTTTCTTTCCTCCCTTTTAGAGAGTAAATTGATATGTTTACTCAGTAAACGCGAACACTGTATCTGTGTATTTGAATATGAAATGTAAAATGACTTTTAACTATTTCATATCCTTATAAAATTTTAGGGTTATTGAGAACACTGATATACACATTTTCAATCCAGTTATTGCTCTACACGCATTCATTATTATTATTGTTATAAATTCTGTTCTTCCATTCTTATAATAAACATGTATTTCTATAGATTCAATGACTCAGCAATTGAAAGATATCAGATATTTTGAAATTTTAGAAACATTTTAAAGAAAACCTTGTTATTCAGTGACATTTTAATTGTTTTCCTTGTAAATTACTGTATCTGGGGAATATCTTAATAACAAGAGAAGGTTGGGGTAAATTTTGTCTGTTATTAACATGTTTAAATTTAAAAAAAAGACAGAGAAAGACTTAGGTTTAATTTTTTTGTATCCTTTAATAAATTGGACAGTTTAGTTATTTAGTTGTACCTTGTGTATAAATATTTGACTTTAGTAAATATATTTTTGTCTGATTTACGTTGAAAGAAAACTTGAAACTGTAATTAAACACTTCCTGATATAGGTATATAAGTTAAAGCAGCATTCAGCTTTTATGTTTTGTTGGAAAACCAATTATGTATTTCAGTAATATTACTTAGGAAAAGTGCATCAGATCACTGATAAGTCATCTTAAAACATCGCCCTGAGAGCTATTTATAAGGCATTAGTGATGTTTGTTTCTAAAAATAGGAGATTAGGAAACAAATTGTTGACTAGATACGAGGTATGGGGGATTCTTTATTGTTTATGTATTTTATTAACAACAAATTAAATTTTAAACCTTAAATCTTTCGATTTGACAATTAAAAAATGTTTTATCTTTAAACTTTAGAAAATCTGATGGCCACTTTAAATTAAGTTACAACTTGTCTGCTTTTGAGTAATTATAATTTACTTTTGCATTATAACTATGTCCTAAATTTAAATGAAAAATCAAGGTTTTTCAAGGTCATAATGGTAGCTCACTGACAAAGGTCTATAACTGTGACCCTGACAATGAATGAGGGCTATTATGTTAATATCAGCACTAAAACTAGATTTATTCAAGTTTTGAAACTTCATACATGTCTATAGTGGTTATGATAGTTATTGTGACTGTCACTGATCTAGACCAATATTTCTATAATGGATTTTGACTTAATTAAACCCCTTTGAAGTTAACAATACACCAATAAACACTTTTAATATGATCTACGTAAATAACCGAGGTATATCAAGTGAAAAATACGAGTTGCTTCCCTTATCTTCGAGTAAAATCGATACCGCTTATGCTAAAACAATACAAAATAAGCTGTTTTTAAACCGCTTGTTTGTTGTGATTAAATGTCCGATTTTAAAATGTATTACACCAATAGAAAGCTTTGGATCTTAGCTTCATCATAGTATAAACTTTAATACATCTTTTGACTCCAAAGTATTAAAATTAACTGTTAAACCTACCATATGTCAGGCCATTTTACATGAGATCTATACAGTGAGATACGCAACTCGTTATCTTTAATCGAAATACAACTGATAAGAATAGCCTGTTGTCTGCTAGTTCTGAAAGTGTTTATCGGTGTATTTTTGGTAAAGGTTTTAGATAAGTTGTATCTTTGGCAAAACATAAATACATGATTATGATACAAGTTAATTAAAACATACATAAAATACAACAATACAACAATTGAACGATGCAAATAAGAATTATTTCAAGTAAATGAATCAAATGAAAATAATCTTACCACAGTGTCTCAATACAAGAAGTAAATAACTTAATAAGTTATTTCCTATCAAAAATTCTATTAAATAAACTTATAGAATCAATGAAAGTACAACTGTGTATCTTAACTCGTAAGAGAATAAAGAAGAAGTGAAGTGAAGAAGGAAAGTTCGCGGGAATTTGGAAGAAAGAAAAATGTTAAAACCAATCTAAAACTTTCTCTCAAATCTCTTTCATACAACATACAAAACGATTGGACATACAAAAACAGTTCACAAAATTGCACGAGATACAGACATAGGTGAATTGTTTCGGCTGTTTCCGTCAATTTCGGCTAATAAGTGTACATTACGGACCCATTCGATACAATACAATAGCAGACGATAACAGACGCCACGGAGACAAACAATAATCGACGCATGCGCAGACATTAAGACTTTTCCCACGACTAAATGACAAACATTGCCCGGCAAAATGAACAATTAACATAATAAATAAAACTTCCCGTGACATAAGGTATTCACTCAAAACTTTTCACACCTGGGGTTATGTTTGTAGGTTGGGTACAAAGACACAACAGGCTACATGTAACATGACATTTCACTGTATTATTCCCCTTATGTTACTCATAGGATCGATGTTGCTATTGTTGTTATGGGGAGTACAGAGAATTGTTAGGCATTATCTTAACGTCTATTGTTGTTTTATTGCTCTTCAAATTTTTGAAGCTGAAGTATATTTTCAATTTAACTGTGCTACATACTTGAGTTCACTATAAATTTTATTGTAAATTTCTACAATATAAATCAAATTAGGAGCTGAATATCAAAAGGTAATTTCTTACTTCTATCTATCCTTCAGTATGTCTGTCTTGGTATAAGTTTCTCATATCACCTTAATATCACTATATTAAAGCTACATTAAATAAATATGTAAAAATATGTTTGCCGTCAGCCTAAAAACCAAGCATTCTACAGTTTCATTAACCTTTTTAACAGTATATCGTTATAAATCTCATCAAATATTGTTCATAAATTAGGATTTTAAATGGAAAACCCCACGGTAACACTAAAGTTCATATACGAATTTTAACATGCAAATGTAGACTATAATCAGCTCGTGTATGCGCTACGTCACAGGGTTAATGTTGCTTTCCGGAACATAGCAAATATAAGATTTTCTTGTGCAAACACAATTTAACCGTTTAAGCTTCACGGTGCATTAGGCCTGGGGTTCAGAAAAATAAATCATCTCATAAAAAAGATTAAATTTGTATGAAAATAACCGTTACAATGTGGAAATATACCGTTAAATTAGGACTGCTACATGTACTTATAGTAATGTTTGTTGATTTAACATTGATGTACGGATTATCTGAAGGCGGAGTTTCTCATGCAAACAAACATTGTCCTTCCGAATTCGTCACAATGAGGTTGCACATTTGTATGCTCATAAAACTCATTTTGGTTGTCTGGACACCAAAATAAGACCTGGAGTCGATATGAAACCCGATTTATTAATGAAATGTCGCTATTTCTGTTTTTATGAAATTTATTAAATGTAACTTTAAAGTGTATAAAACTATATATTTGATGCAAAAATTATTGTTTGGATTTTTAAAAAGAATACTTCCAAAATGCTTGAATGAAATGAAAATGGTAATAAATTGTCTTAGGGCAAGTTGCGCATGCACAAATTCATTGCTAATCGGATAAAACCCTACTTGAAATAATAAAACAATATTTTGTTCTGGAACATTTTATTCTGTTTACGTACATTTAAATTCATGTGTGTTAAATAACAGAGACATTCTATGTTACTACATTTTGGGAATCAACCATATAATAATGGAACCAATATAATTATACTGTTGATAATTTTATTTTAAATACTTCATAAGATACAGATTTATAAGTAAATTAAGTAATATGTTAAATGTTTGTGTGTTGATACCCTCTACAGACAAACTCTCTTTCCAGTTTAGTTTTTAGGTTGATCATGTATAAAGTCTGTGACCTTGAAAATACATGCTACTTTTTGACATATTAAGGACATGATTTTAAGATTTTGTCAAAGCAATTAGTCATTTTGTGTATGATGTTAAATGCAATATTAGTATTCTACAAGTCCCCTTTCTATTATATTATGTATATTTTTTCCTGGACACTACAGGGTTAATTTTGTACATTTTACTGTATATAACTCCTTGTATAGAATAACTTTAGTAAACTTGTTATCTGTTGTACATGTAAAATTGTATTGATGTTTTTATTATTCAAGTATCACAGATTGTATGATACAGTTTTATTGTTTTGATTTCATTCTTCTCTTATACAGTCGTATAAATGTGTGTACAGGTTCCAGAAGTTGTAGATATTGATTTCTTATGTCTAAACAGTCTTTTATTCATAAAATAATACACATGTACATTACAAACAACATGGAGTACACACATTTTAAATTTACATGTTTTTATTTCTTATTTCTTTTGGAAATGGGTATAAAAACAAGTATGAACTACTTATATTAATTCATCTCATTTTCTTATGTTTATGTTTTATTGTCAGCTTATAAGCTTAGTTAGGAGATGTTTAATTAGGTCACATAAATTTCTACTTATAAGCCAGAGTCACATCTAATTGTATTTAGCTCATCTGAGCCCTTAGTACTTAGAGGTGAGCTTTTTGTGGAAGCATTCTAGTTGACCCCTAATAAAGTTGAATCAATCATAGGGTTTCAAAAATGGTCATTCCCCAATGTGACACAATGACCTATGTGTACATCGAAAAAAATTATGATGTTTCTCTTGAAATGGGTCTCAGGTTAGTTATGTAGGGCAGCCATGGCCCTCTTGTTGTATATAACAATAGTATAATTCTTTTTGTCTCCTATCATTACTTATAATTTGTTAAGTTACCGGGGGTAAAAGCAGGATAGTTTTATTTTTAGTACAAATGTTGACATGTTGTTATGTAACTGTCCATTTTTATATGACTGATACACAGTTTATTTGACCCCCCCCCCCCAATGTGATTTTTATGCTCCCCGAAAAATTTCGGGGGAGCATATAGTCATCGGGTTGTTAGTCTGTCCGTCCCGAATTCGTCTCCTGCCCATAACTTTGTTATTTGAAGTCGGATTTTAAAACTATTTCACAGAAATGATCACCATATTGAGACGACGTGTCGCGCGCAACATTTGGCTTGCTACCTTGAAGGTCAAGGTC